TGCTTGCTTCACATTTGTCAGGGCTGCGCTGTGTCCACGTGCTTTTATTTTGACAGTAGCACCGCTACTTCCTGTCTCCTGCAGTCGGTCTTTACAGTCCTTATAATTAGCTTCCTTCTGCTGATGTGGATGTGACACACGCGTCACAGCAGTCAGAGCAGCCTTGTAAATATGCGCTTAGTTGAAGATAAACACAAAGACTGATGCTTTTTTTCGTTCACCAAATTGAATTTCTACTTGCATCGTGCTCTCCTCGTGCGATTTTCTAAACAAATTACATGTGATGATCCTTTTAAAAAAACAAAGCGTCGCATTAAATAGTGCTACATTGAATTACTACTAGACCGTGAGCTCTTTGTAAGTGTTGTGTATTGTGGGGGGACATATTTGGAGCATTTTGTAAGTTTATTTTGAAAGTAGCCCGTTTCATTAAAACAAAACAAAACGAAAAAAAACAAAAACCCATCAGGCGTGATGTCACTGAAATAACATTATGAGATTATGAAATAAAGATCCATAACAGCTGATAACTCCAGTGCCATTGTATATATCAGATGGCAGCCTAAAAAATCTGCTGCTGCAAGTGAATTAGCGTATAGGCCTACTTCTTGCATGAGTTGAAGGGTGGAGTTTATAAAAAGATTTTTAATCATGTTTAATGCAGCGATGGGTGGAAACACACACACACACACACACACACACTAGAAGCCCGTTAGTGCCACCAAGTGGTTTTTGTCTCTGTGATGAACTAGAAGAATCTTTCCTTAACAAAAGCTGAGGAGGCTGCTGCGTGAAAGGAGCGCTCGTTGTTGACTGTGGGGATTATTCAGACAGCTCTTTTTTTTAAAGCTTTCCTCAGTTTTATAGCTTCGTAGGTCTGTGTTGGACTCTGAGATTCTTGGAGTTGTACAAAAAAAGTTTGATCTCATCCAGGAGTGTCATCTCTGCGTTTCTGACATGCGCCTCAGCCGCTCTGTTGCTGTCTTCATCTTGTTCTTCACAGGTGAGTCCATGCGACAAACCTAGCGTGTACGAGACAAGAAAACAAAAATAAACAACAATTCAAATGTTAGGGGCTAGATTTCATCAAAGTACCACGTGATCACAGTGCACGATGTACTTTCCTGTGATCAAAGGAAAAGTACAGAATCAACAAAGTAAAACTACTCCTTAAGGTCCCAATGCAAAAACGTTTGCTCCCAAGGTTTTGGATAGTGCATATTCTGTTAGCAGAAACTAGATGGTGAAGTTGAAACAGAGGCTGAAACTAACGAGCAATCTGCTGCTTCTGTTTAGCTACAGTAACCATGAAAACTCATATTTCCAAAGCACAAGTGACATCTCTGATAAAAATGGGAAGCAGCAAGCTCTCATATTTAAGAGAGAGAAACCATGAAGTAAAGAATAACTTTAACTTAAAATAATGATTGTTTTGTTTTAGCTCAATCAATCAGTTGTTCGACTAAAGCTATCTAGCTATCTAAAGTAATCTAAAGTAACTACATCTGTCTGACAGTGATCTTCTCTAAAATGTAGATACTTAAAGGAAAAGTTATTTAGTCTAAGTTTAGTCTAAATTCAAGCATTGGTTTTGTTGCAAGTCTCAACTAAGACAAATTTGCATGAATATGTAATATATTAGATGGTTGGCCAAGGTTCAAGTCACTCATCTTCCCTGCAGCTGGGAAATACCTCCTCTGCAGTAAAGCCACTGGTATTAGATCCAGATGTGCTGCATTTTTTAGGTGAATCGATGAGTACAAATGGAGGTTCCTGCTCCATTTGTGTCTCCACAACATCTCCCAACATGCAACTGGCTAAAATCCAGGATAAGATGACTTTAAAAATGAGCTGAGCTTCATTTCTCTTCAGGTGTTCCTTCCCCGTTTGCTGACCAAGCAGTTTAATTACGGCTCGGCTCCAGTTAATTCCTGAGGAGTCCCCCTCCGGGCCAAACGTGCTAAAGCCTTCATTTAATCCTGCAAGATAAAGACATGACCTGAGATTCCCCTCGGCAGCACATATGAACTCCAGTGATGATGAGGAGTGATTGAAAGGATGATGCTCGGTCTCTCAGCTTTGTCGTTAGAGACGGATGAAATGTCAGATGAGCAGCAGCTTCTTTGTGGTCTGACTCATTTCTGCTGCATGGTCTCACTCTGCCTGCAGTGTGCATGTCTCTGCAGTAAAATCTGCCTAATGTGTGTCAGTGTCTGGGTATTCTGCACCCCTTAGTCATCAGAAGCAGCGTTTGAGTAAAAGCACCAGTCGGGCAAGCCTTTCTTTGTCATACGTGAGAAAAAATGGATTCTCTTTGGGTCCGAGAACAAGTTATGAGGGGACTATTTTCATATATATAATCACAAAAGCTGAATGAGTAACAAGAAGTCTAATCTCCAAGGTTATGTTTGCCTATTAGGAAAAACAGCTCAAATCTATAGAAAACCTCCGTTTCAATTTTATCCATGTATAATCTCACATATCATTTTAATTGCCATGTGCATGATAGTACACCCCACTTGCAGTAATGTCCATTTCTATATTTGAACACTGCAGTGATTAGCCTGTTATTTCCTGTGTGACTAATTCTCTGTGAGGGGAAATATTAGCCTGGGGAAGTGTATTGTGTGGAACATTGGGCTCTTTATAAGAAAAATAAAACAAACAAAAAAACCCACTGAC